TGGAGAACACCATCTCCCAGCTGGAGACCCAGTACCTCCTACCCAAGTTCTCCACCCTTGTCTTCTTCCTGCTCATGACTGCAATGATGCTGATCTGCTTGCTGGCCTTCTTCTTCCTCAGCCGGCAGCCCAAGGTGTGGGAGCTCTCCCAGCAGCAGCTCTTTCCCGGCAACATTGTGCTGAACTCATTTGACCAGATCCTTGATGAGGCAGCTGACTCGCAACTGAGCAGAGGCTGCTCATGCTCAAAGGATCCCAAGGGCCAAGGGGACATCCTGCCAGAGAAGGTCTCCTATTCCCTGACCAAGCTCGCCTTCATCTACCTCCTCATCACCTGGGTGAGCGCCCTGACAAATGGGGTCCTGCCGTCGGTGCAGTCCTACTCCTGCCTGCCCTACGGCCACACCACCTACCACCTGACAGCCACACTCAGCTCCATGGCCAACCCCCTCGCCTGCGTCGTGGCTGCGTTCCTGCCCAGCAGGTAGGTAGTGGGGTGCAGGGAGATGCAGCAGGATGCACCCCGGAGGATTCTGCCTTAAGAACGGCCCCTGCTTTGCAGGGGCTTGCAAAGAAGGCACTGAGTGGGAGAGAGTCTGTGGGGTGCCCATGCCCTGGCAGCACAGACACCCCAGGAATGGAGGATGAAGCCAGCAAGGAGCTGTCTTTGCCACTATCCAGGGATGGGCTGGTGGTGTTCCCAGTGTCACTCACGTGTCCCTTGCAGGTCCCTGTTCCTGATGGGCTTCCTCACCATGGCAGGGACAGGCTTTGGTGCCTACAACATGGCCATGGCGGTGATGAGTCCCTGTCCACTCCTCCAGCAGTCCCAGTGGGGCGATGCCATCATTGTAAGTCACGGGGTCCCTCCCACCCGGGAAGATCTCTGAGGCCACCCCTGGATCTGTCCCCCAGCCCCACAGTTGGGAACCTCCCCCAGCCCTGCTGACCTCTCTCCCCCCTGTGCTGCCAGGTCCTCTCCTGGGTGCTGTTCACCGGGACGCTCACCTACATGAAGGTGATGGCCGGGGTGATCCTGCGGAGCCACAGCCGCAGTGCGCTGGTGTGGTACGGGATGCTGGAGCAGCTGGGCTCCCTCCTCGGGGCACTGCTCATGTTCCCCCTCGTCAACATCTACAGCCTCTTCAAATCCGCTGACTACTGCAGCCTGCAGTGCCCAGTGGGACGGGCACCCCAGGGCTGATCCTCCTGCCAGCACAAACTCCCAAAACCAGCGAGGCTGGGTGGCTGGGAAGCAGCGCTGGGACTGGGATGGCTGCAGGCATGTCTCCCCACCAGATTCTGCCAGGTCCCCAGGCAGCAGCAGCTCCGGGGCTTTGTCCCCAGCCTGGGTACAGGGTGTCCCCATCACATGAAAGCAATAGAAAGTGTTTGCTCAGCCCTCTGCCTCCCTGCTGCCCCCCATGCTGAGGGAGCTGCCTGTGCCAGTGCCCCCCGCCTGGGTACCTCTCAGCTGGGGCCATGTCCCATCCCTTCCCCTGGGAGGTCTGTCACTGTTTGGCATCGTGCCCTAAAGCCCCCCTGGACTCCACGGGTGGGCACAGCCCCAGCTGCACCCAGCAGCTCCAGCAGCGTTCCCGGTCCTGTGCTGTGGCAGCTGCCCCCAGACAGGGGGTTTGCAGCCAGCTGGGGGGAGCGGGGACAAAGGCAGTCATGGGGAGGGGGGTGGCGGGGGGACACAGCGCATTCATGAGGGCCCCAATAGCAGCTGGGGAAACTGAGGCACGGTGGAACTGGGGGCACGTGCTTGACATTTGCCATCCTCTGCTGTGGCCCTGTCTGTGCTTTTTGCACCCTCCCTGCAGCCCTGTGCCTCGCTGCACCCCATCTCGCCCCGCTGCAACCCAAGAAGGGCAGTGCTGGGGGTGCAGAGCTGGAGAGGGGCCACGGCAGAGCCCCGCACTGGAGCAGTGTGGGCACAATGCCCATCGGCGGGGGTGTCACACCACCAATGCCAGGGCTGGGCCACCTGGTACCCAGCTGTGCCCTGACTGTGCTGGCCAGGTCAGGAGCCAGGTGAGCACCAGGGTATGGCAGGCACGGAGGGTCAGGGGGCAGCGGCAGCTCCGGGATGGGACAGCGCCCGTGCCTCGCACACGCCTGCGCCCCTTCCCTGGGGCACGAGGCAGCCGGGCCTTTGTCCCCGGCCCTTTGTCTGGCATCTGCTCCCCGTGCTGGCGGCAGCACCAGACCACGGATTGGAGCCACTTCGGGGCTCCGGCTGCGGCCCGGCCGCCTCCGGGAAGGACGCACTTGGAATACCTAATGGCCAGCAGCCTCCCAAGCTGGCACTGGTGGGGGTCCTGCAGCTGAGGCAGCAGAGAGGGCAGGAGTGAGGGCAGCGGGCTCTGACCCCCAGCACCACTGGGCATTCCCTGGCAGCTCCCGGCTGACCCCACAGCCCCACACATCCAGGATTCACGGGGGGCAGGGGCTGAGGACCGGTGGGAGACGTGGGGGCACAGCAGGGCAGGTTGTCTCATCCTGGGAGTGGGATGTGTCCCTTGTGGGGAGACTGGGAGCCAAAGCAGAGTCCTGACCCCTCTCCTCCTGCTCCCCAAAAGGATGCTCCTCCCCTGGGGAGCCCCCCAAACCCTTCGCCCACCGTACCCCCACAGACCCCTCCCTCTTGCTGGGGAAACAATTGCCTCCGATGGGAATTATTTCCATACAGCTGCTCGGGAAGGCACAAACCCGTCGGAGGAAGGCTGAGCCTTTCTTCTGGCGCTGCCCCCCCTCCCCACGGCGGCGGGGGCAGGTTTGGGGGGGCCCGGGCACTGCCGTCAGCGCTATCAGCTCGGCAGGGCTGGCTGCGGTTATTACCATACATTATCGCAGTCCCCTGCCTCCAAAAGGAGCCGGGGCTGCTCCCCCCTCCCAGCACTCCCTCCTCCTGCCTTTTACACTTAATTACCTCCCTTATTACACCGCAGCCTGGAGAGAGACAAAATCCCAGGGCAGCGGGCGGGCGGGCAGGCAGCAGGCAGCGGGCAAGCAGTGGACAGGCAGCAGGCAGTGGGCAGGCAGCAGGCAGTGGGCAGCAGGCAGGCAGCGGGCAGCATTCAGGCAGGCCCAACTAGGGCGTAAGTAATTGTCCATTCTGCAAACGTGCCTTCCAGGAGAGAACCAACACACGCACAGATAAATAAATCAGGGAACAGAGGCCGAGAGCCCGGTGTGTGTGTGTGTGTGTGTGTGGGACGCCGGGAGCAGCCCGGCAGGCCATGTCCCCCCGGGCCGCAGCCCTCTGGGAGCGGTGACCTTGAACTTGGCAGAGCCCTGACGTCAGGGCAGCGCTGCGGGGACAGATGGGGCTCATGGTGCTGCCAGCGAGCCCCGGCCAAGCGCTGCGGGAGCGAGTGGAGAGACCCCAGCCCGTGTGGGGATCAGTCCTGGGACCCACAGCCCCGGGACCCACAGCCCTGGGAGTAGAGTGGAAAGACCCCAGACCATATGGGGAGCAAGCCTAGGATCTCGTGGAGTGTGCAATACTCTGGATATGGGATACTGTGGGATGGGATACTGTGAGCTATGGGATGCACTGAGCTGTGGGATGCTGTGAGATGCTGTGGGATGCTATGGGATATCAGATGCTGTGGGATTCTGTGGGGTATCAAATGCTGTGAGATGCTGAGCGCTGTGGGATGCTCCAGGCTGTGGGATGCTGTGGAATGCCCTGGGCTGTGGGGTACCACACAAAGCAGTGAGCAGGGGCACTGCCCGATGCAATGCAGGGCTGACTCCAGCCATGTCTCTGGGCACGACTGAAGGAGCAGACACGGCTGTGAGTAGTCAGGCCCAGAGTGCCAGCTGTAGAGGTGCTGCTTTTGGCCTCTAGACCTGATGCCACATCCCTGACCAAAGGGGCTGCTGCCTCCCGAGGCTGATGGTGCCCAGGGCTGCCCCACTCCAGCCATGCCAGCGCTCTGCCTGCACTGACAGCTGGGGGACCATCCTTATTAAGTGCTGCAACACATTGCACAGGGCTCGGGGAGAGCAGAACCCTCTGCCAGCCAGGTCCCCGTGTCACCCACTGGCCCTCAGAGAGCGCAACTCCAGAGAGAGGCAGCGCCGGACCACCGGCTGCCTGCAGGGGCGAGGGGAAGGGGGGAAGTGGGAGTGGGGGCTCCCGCGGGGAACAATGCACTGCCACGAGCCCGGCTATTGTTGTGGCTGCGAAGGTCACAGTGCTTCCCTGGGACTGGGATGGAGACAGGGACATGGGTGGGAAAAGGGATAGGAAAAGAGGGATGGGAACAGCGAGCAGGGATGGGGACAGGACAGAGGTGGGACAGGGAAGAGGGAACAGGGATTTGTACGCGCTTGTAATTTAGGTTTTTGATATGAGGACGGAGAACAAGAGACAGGGAAAAGGACAAGGGAAAGGGGTCAGTGGAAAGGGACTGGGGACAGAGATGAGAACAGGGAAGATGGAAATGGTAACAGGGAACAGGGATAGGAACAAGGAGCAAGGACAGAGAAAAGAGAAAGGGTCAAGAAGCAGGGACAGGGACAGAGGACAGGGATGGAGACAAGAGAAGACAAGGGACGGGACAGGGATAGGGACAGGCATCGGGATGAGGACTCTCACCCCGCAGCCCCGTCCTTCCCTGGCCCTGGGGGCTGGCGGCAGGGAGACAAAGGCGGTGGGAGGCAGCGGCATGTCCCACCCCCCGGTCCCCCCGTGTCCCCATTGTCCGTGGCCGGGGTGGGGGGAGAAATCCGGGGGAGGGACCGGGGACCCCACACTGCCGTGATGCCCGGGGCGCCCCGCACTGCCGGCGGCTCGAGGGGCTCCGGGGGGGGCTCCGGGCGCGGCCAGGCGAAGCGGCCCCCTCCCCCCACGACCGCTTGCCTTTCTCCCCCTCCTCCCCCCCCGTCCTCCCCTCCTCCTTCTCTTCCTCCTCCTTCTCCTCCTCCTCCTCCTCCTCGCCGCCCCGCCGCCTCCCCGCCCCTCGCACTCGCCTCCCCGCGCCTCTCCGTGCGCACCGCCGGGGCCGAGCGCCGGGGCCGGGGAGGGGGGGGCCGGGGCCGGGGCGGGGGCCGGGGCCGGTGGCGGTGCCGGTACCGGAGGTGTCCAGCGCTGCCCGGCCCCGCCATGCCCCGCTCCTTCCTGGTGAAGAAGCTGAAGGCGGAGGCGTTCCCGGCCACCGGGGCCCCCGCGCCCCCCTACGCCCCCCTGGAGCCCCCCTACACGCTGCCTGGCCCCGCCGCCGGCGATGGTGAGTGCGGGGCCGGGGGTCCAGAGGGGCCCCCCCGCCGCTATTGTCTGTGCGCCCGGCGGGGCACCGGGCAGGAGACTCAGGGGGACGCGGGGCAGGACGGGCCGGGGGTCCCCGCGTTGTGTCCCGCGGCGAGCAGGGGGTGCGGGGTGGGGGGTGTCATCCCTCGTCGTCTTGTCCCCCGCTCCGGGGCCACCGGGCGCTGTCGAAGTTGGTCCTTTGGGGAAACATCCCCTGCGTGACAGCGTCAGCCCCGTGGGCAGCCCCGAGCCCCCTTTCCGCCCTGGGAGCACCGAGACGGGCTCCTTCCCATGACAAGTTTGGGGGTGCACGAAGCAGCCGGGTTGCGGGGGCGACGAGGGGCGGCGGGGGCGGCAGCCTCGCCGTGCCGGCGGGTTTCATTGTTCGCAGCGGTGCCCCGAGCCCCCCTGGGAACGCGGTGGGGGCCGGCGTCCCCCCGGGCACGGGGAGCAGGCGGGGGAGAAGAGGGGGACACCCCCGCCGCAGCGCTGGGAGAGGTGCGAAGGGCTGGGCTAGGGGTGGCCGGGGTCCTTAGAGCCCCATCCTGCGGGGGGAATCTGGGGTGGGCTCGGAGTCCCCCAGGCTCGGCAGAGCCCCCCGACGGGGCGGCCCAGAGACCTGTCCTAGAAGAGGGGACCACGGGAGGTCAGGGGGCTCCATTCCTTAGGCTGGGGAGTCCTGGATGCTCGGGGGCCAGGAGACGGATCTGCATGCGGGAATGGGCCTGATCCAGCCATGCACAAGCCAACATTACCCAGCCGCTGCGGTGCCTGTCCCCCCTTTTGTAGTGCTCCCCAGCCCTTGATGGGTTTTCCCTACCCGGGGCCAGGGTTTTAGACCCGTCTGGCCAGGGGGTCCTCTGTTCCCCCCTCCTCAGGAGCCAGGAGCCAGTGGGGGAGGGATGTGCTGCAGCTGGGTAGAAGCTGCCGACGCTGCTCTCCTGGAAATAACCTTGCTGCATGCACGGAGGCAACGTGAGAAATTGCTGAGCAGAGCGCTTTCTGCACAGCCCGCGCTGTCAGCACGGCGCGGGGGACGGGGGGGCCCCACCACGCAGCCCCCTCCCCACCACAGGCATCCCCGGCAGCCACGGGACAAACGGCAGCGGTTTCTTGCCCCAGGCAGGGTATCCTGTGGGTGCTGGCCGGGGATCTGGGTTTAGGGGATGCTTTGCCACGGCTGTTCACCCTGCCCCACAGCATGCACTGGTGAGCCCAGCCGTGCACCGACCCCAGGCCCCTGACAGCCCCTCTGTTACCAAGCAGCTTGCAAGGACCAGTGTGCACAAGACAGGGGACTGCTGGGACCAGTTTGGTGGTCCTGGAGTTCCAGGGTGTCCACCAGAGTTGCTGGCCCAGTGGGAAGGGGACTGCACTGCTGCTCCTGCGGTGACCTTCATGTGACAGGATGGAGGGACCAGGATGCCAGTGAGGCGCCCTCTCTGCCACAGATTGGGAGTCCCACGTGTGAAGTGGGGTCATGAGCAGCACCAATGTCACATGGGGGTGATGCCGGTGGAGTGGTACCCGAGCCCTACTCCACACCTGGGGGGCTGTAGGTCCCCCTCCTTGGTGGGAGTGCAGGATCCCCGGTGCTGCCTTCCTGATACTGCCCCATCTCTGGAGAATAGACCCTGCACGGACAGCAGAGATGTGTATGGCTTTCCCAGCCCCTTTGCTGGGGAAAGTGGCCTCGTCCCCCTCACTGTGGTTGCCCACGGAGCAGAGCTCATTACCAGCACGGCCACAGTGAACAATGAGGCTCCCGGCACTGACAGCTGTCTGGTGGCTAATGGCCCCCAGGGGCTGCCCACAGCCGGGGCAGGCACATCTGGACGTTCCATGGCCCCATTCCCGATTTCCACCGCTATGGGATGGGACCCATCCTGCCAACAGATGCAGACAGGAGCCAGGGCAGGACAAGGCAGTTCCAGTGCTCAGGTGACTCAGTGGGGACTGGGACCAGTGGGGGAGGGACAACCCCAGTTCTGCACCTCCAACAGGCAATTTTGGATCATGTCTTTCCCCTGTCCCTGGTGAGGCTGGCCCGGAGGGGTGGTGACCTTGCTGTGCTGTTCCCACAGGGTACCTCCAGCACTGCCTGGCACCAGCTGGCTACGACACAGACAAGAAGCAAGGTCTGCCACCACCACCGCCGGACCCAGCCTATGCACCTGGCCACGAGGAGTACAGCGACCCCGAGAGCCCCCAGTCCAGCTTCTCCGCCCGCTACTTCAACGGGGAGGCAGCGGTGACAGACAGCTACTCCATGGATGCCTTCTTCATCACGGACGGGCGGTCGCGCCGGCGCAGCGAGAGCCAGCGCCGAGGCAGCCACCGCCACTCCTGCCCCGAGTGCGGCAAGACCTACGCCACCTCCTCCAACCTCAGCCGGCACAAGCAGACCCACCGCAGCCTGGACAGCAAGATGGCGAGGAAATGCCCCACCTGCGGGAAGGCGTACGTCTCCATGCCCGCCCTGGCCATGCACGTCCTCACCCACAACCTCAAGCACAAGTGCGACGTGTGCGGCAAAGCCTTCAGCCGGCCCTGGCTGCTGCAGGGCCACATGCGATCCCACACCGGGGAGAAGCCCTTTGGCTGCTCCCACTGCGGGAAGGCCTTCGCCGACCGCTCCAACCTGCGCGCCCACATGCAGACCCACTCGGCCTTCAAGCACTACAAGTGCAAGCAGTGCGAGAAGACCTTCGCCCTCAAGTCGTACCTCAACAAGCACTACGAGTCCGCCTGCTTCAAGGGCTCCGAACACAGCTGTGCAATAGGGAACTAGGCCCCCATCCCCCTGTGGCGCATCCCCATCTTCATCCCTGTATCCAATCCCCATCCCCATCTCATCCCGTGCCTGTCCCCATTCCCATCCACATCCCACCCCGTCCCCATCCCCATCCCATCCTGGTCCCAGTCCCCACGCCAGCACTCCTGCAGCTGCAGACAGCCAGTTTGAAGCTGTGCTGAGGCTGGAGGACACATCCCTGCAGACTCACTCCCCACCTGGGAGAAGGATACCCTACTGCTCCCTGGGAAGGGGGTACCCCACAGTGGGACCCAGCTCCAAGCCTATGGGTCCCCGAGCTCCCCCTGCAGCCAGGCAGGTTTCTCTGCAGGGGACTCACCTGGGGACCTCTTCCAGATCCAGGATAGATTTCCTCCCCCAGCTTGTGATTTTCACCTTTATTTATTTAATTTATTACTATTATTTATTTAGAGCTGCTACTTCTCACTCCGGGGGATCCTGGGGGAGAAAAGACATTTTTCTGCTCCCCACCAGGAGCATACCCTCCCCTTGACCCCAACCCTGATGGGACCATGGGCAGATGCTACTGCTGGCTCAGCAGGACTGATGGCTGCTGAGGCTGATGGAAGGCAGGGCTACCAGTCCTCCTTGGAGGCTGGGGTCCCTGCAGCCCACCACCCAGGGCACCCTGCTGCCCCCCTGCCCTCTGGCACTGTGTTTACCCTGGCACTGTGGCTCCACAGGCCCAGAGTTAGGGGAAGAGCAAGGGGCTCCCAGCAGAGATCCATGGGACATGTCCTCCATTGGATCCCAGCTCCTGGCTTGGCCAGGCACAACTGGCCTCCGCCACAGTGATGGGCTGGGAAATACCTGCCCCAGACAGGTGCAGCCCCCCTTGCCGTGCAAATGGCTGGGCTGGCAGCTGGGCTGGAGACCCAGCCCTGGGGCAGGCAGCACCCAAACCCCCAACTGTCCCCCCATGTAGCCCTAACCCTTCCGCAGCCCCTTCTCCAGCCAACTCCCAGCTCCTCGCCATCACCCCCCCGCCTGCGCTCGGGAGGAGGGGGTGAGAGTAGCCGTAAAGTTTGGGTGAGTCTATTTAAATGTTCTTATTTATATTATTTATAACTTATGCTTTTCACTATTTATTTGCCAAGACTGGCCGGGCCGGGCCAGCACTGGCTTGCAGGAGGTGGCAGAGCTGCAGCAGAGCTGCCGTGCCCAGGACAAGCTACGGTGGCACAGACGGGGACAGGACCCCGAGAGTGGACAGTGCGGCAGGGCCCGGGGAGGGCACGAGCTGGCCCAGCAGCCTGGGCTCCACGCCCTGCAAGCCTCCCCCAAAGGCAAAGCCCTTCTCCTTCGTCTTCCTTACTGCCGCAGGCTCCTGCTTTGCTCCGTGCCTCGTGCCAGCCCGGTGGGGACAAACCAGCCACTCTATGCAACCTCCTGGTGGAGCATCCCCTCACCGGCCCCGGAGCAAGCGCCGTGCACGGCATCCCGGAGCGGGGCCCGACCCACGCCTCCGCCTCCTACCTCGGGCCGCGAGCTGCCACAGCCCCATCACCCTGTGCCAGTCCTCGACACCTTGGGGCTCAGCCCGGCACGTCACGGGGCCGCACTCGTGCACCCCCACACCGTCTTCCTGCACCGTCTTCCTCCCTGCACCGTCTTCCTCTCGCCGCCTCAGTGCCCGCGTTGGTCACGGGCTCAGTGGGGATGTCCCTGTCATGCTCCTCGCTGCCGTGGCACGGTGGTCATGCATCCGCACCCCAGGCAGGGGACGAGCATCACCCCGGCCACGCAGGCACCCACCGGGCTTTCCCCACCACGCCGGCGCCGTTCCACGGAGCACGGCGTCCCGCGGCCGGCAAGCTCGGAGCACCGCGCCGCTGCCCCTCTCTCCTGTAAATAGCAGATACTACAGCAATAATTTTCCGTGCATGATAGATTTTTTCTGCCAGGTTTTGTACTCGCCAGCCCCAGTACGACAAGTCTACTGAGATCCGGCCGCCCGCAGTATTACTTGTAACGCAATTCAGGGATATAAAAGGGATTTCTGCCACTAACCACGTGTCTCAGGGGATTTGTGCCGCCGGTGGTGGGTGGTGGCACGAGAGCTGCCAGCATGCCCATCCCACGGTGCCCCATGCCCACACCTAGTCCTGGGCTGGAGCATCGTGGACAGAACTGCCCCAAAGTGAGGGGCGATGTCCTGGCAGCCTGCTGGGAGCAGGTGGCTGAGGCACCCGGAGCATCCCATGCTGCCCGTGTGGCTGTGCCAGCCCTGCAGCCAGTGGGCAGTGCAGCCAGACAGCCCCCTGCCGTGACAAGGGGGGCTGTTATGATGCCATCCTGCTCGTGAGGGCGCCGGGGGCTGTAAGCACGGCAGAGCACTGACCTGGAAGTAAAGCGGTGTGTGAAATCCCGGCAGCAGGCGCAGAGCCCGGTGGGCAGCCCAGGGGGGGCCGACGATGCTCACACACCCCTGGGGCTCCACCTCGCTGGATGGGGAGGATTCGGCGAGCAGATTTTATTTCAGCTGTTGCCGTGCTGGCATCCACTCCCATGGGATGTGGTCAGGGATGGTGGGAACAATCCAGCAGAGACCCTGCTCCCAGGAACTCCCTCTCCTCTCTCCCCTCAGCCTTCCTCGCATGTGAGTGCCAAAGGGGGAGGGCAAATTTTTTTTGGTGTCCAGCTTGTCAGCAGTGCCCTCGCTGAGTCCTGCACTCCCAGTGACATCTGTGCAACCATTCACCTGCAAAGTCATCAGCAATTCACCCTGCAAAATACTAATCCCGGAGCCTCACAAACCCATCTCTGACCATCACTAGCATGTTTCCTAGTCAGCTCCAGGGTTGGGGACCCTCCATGTCCCCTAGGAGCCAGGGTGAGGGCACCGGGAGCAGCCATCTGCCGGCATCACAACCCCACTGTGGATCCAGGGTGCCCCGATTGCAGCAGCTGATGGGGTGGGGGACCCAGTTCTTCCTGGGAGCCTCTCCCCGTTTAGGACACTGGTCTGAAGAAATGACCTAGAAAGATTCAGGGCTGGAATGCCGAGGTGTCTGCCCCAGCTGTGGAGAATCCCAGCATTGCTGCTCAGCTCTGGGGCTGTGTCATGCCTCCTCTTCCTCGCCGAGGACCCCACAGGCGTCAGCGTAGCTGGAAGGGGGCTCTGGGGTGGGGATGTGTTCCTGGTACAGTCAGGCAGGTGGGGGGCACATCCCAGCTCCCAGAGGAGATGCTGCAGAATGATCCTTAGTGTGCCAGCATGGCCAGGTGGGAGAAGAGACCCCCGGGCAGCTTTCGGTGTGGGGGGGCAAGACAGGGACCCCCAGCACAGCTGGTAGAGAGCTCAGCTGCCACGTGCCGAGGAGTGTCCCGTGGGGATGAAGAGGTGAGGGCAGCCCTGACTGCAGGCTCGCAGGAGCAGGCAGAGGGCCAGCTGGCTCTGGCACCCGTCCCGGCAGCCCGTCCTGCTCCTTCACTGTGACTCTGCAAAACAGCGGGGCGGGGGCGGTGACGATGACGATGGCTGGGCCAGGAGGAAGTAGAGCGGCCCGGCTGGGCGCTGCACTGCTCGGGGCAGAGCAGAGGGCTCGGCTGGGCAGGAAGGAGGAAGGCCAAGGGCGGCTGACAGCAGCAGCCATGGCCGAGTCCGATGATCGGAGCATTCACACACAGCACATCTCGACCGTACACAACGTGCCCATGAGCGTCCTCATCCGGCCCATCCCGCCGGAGCTGGATCCAGGGAAAGTGCAGAGCCTGGTGGAGACCCTGCAGGTGAGTGCAGCCCCCCCCCGGGGTGCCCGGGCAGCCCTTCCCACACCTACCCGTGCCACCCGGGGGGCACTGCAGGGGAAGCTCGCAGCACCCAAGCCCCAGCACAGGCAGGTCGGGGGGTGTCGGGGTGGGTTGGGGGTGCTGGAGTGTGTTACTCTTGGATGTGTCTCTCCCTTCCCAGGAAGATCCCGAGCGAGTGCCCCCCATCGACGTGCTCTGGGTCAAAGGCAGCGAGGGCGGTGACTACTTCTACTCCTTCGGGGGCTGCCACCGCTTCGCAGCCCACCAGGCACTCCAGCGGGAGACCATCCCTGCCAAGATCATCCCCTCTACCCTCAGCGACCTCCGAACCTACCTGGGCTCCTCCACGCCCCACCTGCGCTAGCCCAGCATCCCGAGGATGCACCCGCAGCCCCCGCTGTTGCCGTTGGTTCCTACCCGGGAGCCCCTGGTGAAGATGGGGTTGGGGTCTCCCAGCCCTGAGGGGGTTCCCGGGGTCCCTCCAACAGGGATGGGGTCAGTGTCCTCCCACCTTGGGGCGCGGGTCCTCGGGGTTCCTTCAGCCAGGATAGAGTCAGGGTCCTCCAACCCTGAGGGGAGTCCCTGGAGTCTCTCCAGCCGGGATGGGGTCAGGGTCTCGCCGGTACCGGGAGGTGTCCGGGGCGGGGCGGGGCCGGCAGGTGGCGATATTGTGCCGCGCTCCGCCACCACGGGAGACTGCGGGGACCGGGACGGGACGGGACGGGATGAACCAGGACGGGACGGGATGAACCAGGACGGGGTGAACTGGTTGGGGTGGGCTGAACCGGGGCACGGCTCAACCGGGAATAGCTGAACGGTGATGGAACGGGCGGAACCGGGGCATGGCTCAACCGGGAATGGCTGAACAGGGACAGGAGGGGCTTAACCGGGGCACGACTCAACCGGGACGAACTGAAGCAGGTCACACTGGAACTGGGACAGGTCGCAGCCCGTCCGAGGCACAGATGTACCGGGAAGGGATACAGACGGACCAGGAAGGCATAGAAGCAAAACGGGACACAGTCGAATCAAGACACAGAGGTACTGGGAGGAGGCACTGCTGAACCAGGCAAGGCCAGTCCCCAGCCCTCTCACGGCGACTCTGGGCACACCCTGTGCCCGGATCGGGGGGACCCTAGGCTGTGCCTGCCCCAAAAACGTCTGCTCCAACCCTGGACGCATCTCATCGTCCCCCTGTCCCTGGGGACACCTCCAAAATGCTGGGGTGGGGACATCTGCTGCTGCACCTGGAATAAAGGTGATCAAAGCCCCACAGCTCCTGGGCCTGGTGCTGGG